AAAAAAAAAAAAAAAAAGGAGGCACTTCCAGTGCTTATTGGTGGTACAGGGTCATAGGGTTTTTTGCCGCCTCCTGGAAGCATAGTGGCAGCTTCGCACACCCTGCAATTATTAGTGCTCACAGCTCCATATGACTCAACCCCCACTTGTCAGCTGAACAGAAAGAAACCAGGTCAAAATCTTGGATGAGAAGTGAATTCAGAGAATAAAGATACCAATTTAGAAAGGTTCATATCTCTTAGTCCTCTCATGACAGTGCTTAATTCACTATCTTCGGGTCTGGCTCTTTTTTGAGATCCAAGAGTCCTCAATACAGACAGAATATTTCTCAACCCAAAGTCATAATGAACCTAAGATGGCAAAAGAGGGAAAAAATATTATTTAATTGAAAAACTAAATGTAGACTCACTCTATACATATAACACTCTGATACCTATATACCAGAGTTTTAGAGTGGCTGAGTGGCAAAGTTTTATTAGCTCAATTCTCCTGCCTTTCCTTTGCCTGAAAAATGATCATTCCATCGGAAAAACCAAGCTATATGACACAGTATTCACATCTTAAATATCTTTTGAGAATAATATGGTCTGAGCAAAACACAATAGATTTTAAACATCTAATCAGCAGGTTACATACTGTATATATGATTCCATTTACACAACATTCTTGAAATAAAATTATAGAGATGGAGAAAAGGTTAATGGTGGCAACAGGTTAGAGATTTGGGAGAAAGGTGGGTGTGGCTATAAAGGGGTGGCATGAGGGAACTTGTGGTGATGAAACAGTTTTGTATCTTGATTGTAGTGACATGTAGGAACATGAATCTACACATGTCCCATAATTCCACAGGACTACACACACACATACACACGTGCATAGATAAGTGGTGAAACCTTAATGAACTCTGTGGATTGTTCCAGTGTCAATTTTCTGGTTTAGTCATTGTCCTATAGCTACCAGATGTCAACATTGGGGGAGGCAATGTGAAAGGTATACACCACCTTGTATATTTCTTTGCAACTTCCTGTGAATCTACATTTATTTCAGAATAAAAAGGTTTTAAAAATACAACCAACAGGTCAGATTATTTATACATACATTTTAGAAAAGAGTCAATGGGATTTTTTTCTTAACTCACTGATTAGCATTTATCAAGGTAAAATTGCAAAACGAAAAACCAAATTCTATAGCTAGGGTAAAAATAAATATATAAAGTTACCTGTTTAGTAAGTTGTTCTTCACAGAGTTTGTAAAGAAC